AGACACAATTGCCAGAAACTCCCTGCCTCTCAGCTCTCCCCCAACCCTCATGTCCTCACTCCTCAGCCACTTCTCCATTGCTTTTATGAAAAGGAGAAAATAGTGAATGTCAGGGAGGTAAGACATGGGGGACACTTTCTATGAGTCAGACGTTTCTAAGCATCTTCCACAATGGCTCAAGGGAGCTTCACAGTTATTTGTAGTAGATATAGTAGGGTCTGGTCCTAGCTGCATCACCAGGAAGCTTGTGCCCATGATGCAGATTGCTGAAGTTAAATGACATATTCTAGATGGCGTTCCTTTTATTATGTATTTTTAATTAAACATATGCACATGTGACTGTGTGTAGGTATGCATACATGAGCGCAGGTGCCTTGGAGGCCATCAGCTAGAGTTGGCGTTTAAGTGAGCCTCCCGATGTTGGTGTTGAGAATTGGACTTGGATCCTCCACAAGGGCAGTACAGGCTCATAACCTCTGAGTCATCTCTCCAGCCTCACTAGCAACATCAGACAAAACCAAATTAGAGATCTTACAGGCAAGATTGTCTTATACCAAGAGATGCCCTTTCCAGTAAAACCCAAGACTCCAAAAGTATGGGCTTTGCGCTCTTAGCTGCTTGTCTTAGCCGTATCTCCCCACAGTTGCTGTAAATCAACAGCTCTGAGGATTGAAGCATCATTGATTTGTGTGTACATAGGCTCTTCTGCAAACCTGGTCCCAAGGGTCTCCCATCCCCACTCTTGAGCATACTGGCACTGACCCATTCAAGTCTTTAGACTGGGCCTCCTATACTCCGGGCTGTTGAACCCATGGTAACCTTTACTCCCTGTCCACTTGGTTCCTGGATTCTGGTTCTTGGATAACTGCTCCAGATCAGACTATTGGATCCTCACTTTTGGACTCGGCTCCGGGTCTAGTTTAGGAACATGCCTAGACCATCCTTACCCAGTGCCGCTAGGAAGTGGTCTGGACAGTGGAGGGAAAAAAAAATATCAAATCTGTTTGGAACCTCAGCATCTGAAATATTCTGGACAGGATGCTTAATGGAGACTCTTAGGGAAGATACACCAGGGCACACACACTCACCAATGAAGGCATCCTGAGAAAGAGACTGAGATACAGATGAGACTGCATACAGATGAGGGAGACCTGGAGGCCCAAAAAATAAGGCAAGATGGTCCCAGCTGCACAGATAGGGAGCTTGTCTGGGGAACAGTGCTCAGAGGATGCAAGCAGAGACTTCTCTGGGAAGTCAGGAAGACTTTACCAATGTCCAGGCTTATTCCTGGGCTCTTCAAGCTGTGCCAAAGACCTTCACGTGGCCCACAAAAACACTTTTGCAAAGTTCCAAACTATGGGTCCCAACCCTGCCCCAGACACTTGCCAGCATAAATAATTAATTGTAAGTGTAGTGCCAAGTGTCCAAATACATGTGCATTTATATATGTGTGGTGTGTGTGTGTGCACACCTGTTTTTACCCACTATTTTGTTTTAAATAATCTAATATATGCATATATGTAAAGCTCACTTAATCTCCAACAAGTGACCATGTGCCAACAAGTGTTTTATATATAGATGAAATCTCATGTGTATATGCACATAGCTCATTTAAATAGATCTTACATAAATTTGCATAAATTTCATATACATAAGCCCTCACATACACACATATATATGTAAGTCACATTAAGTCATTACCTAGTGACTATACTAATAACATATAAAATTGTATATAACGACATAAAACCAAATTTACATGTGGTATATAGATAAGATCTGAAATAAATACTTATATATAAAAACCTCATTAAATTATTAAATAGTAGCTAGATATTAGCAGCTGTTCCAAATATATTTGTAGTCATTTATGTGTGGCTCTCCTACCTAAATTGCATTTAATTGTTTAAGATGACTATATATCAACAGCTATTTCATATATTATAAAATCTAGTTTCACATGTTAATGTCACATATATTTAAATACATTCATAACACAGACACAGATATGCATACCTGTGCATGCCTATGGGTATGTGCCTTTGGGTGTATGTGCGTGCACATGCATGTGCCTGTGTGTCTGTCTGTATTTCTGTCTCTTAACTTCCTAGCAGCAGCAGCAGCAACAGCATTGCTGCCCTTAGGCTAAGCAGGACCACCTACCTGATGCCTGTGAGGCCAAGCTTAGCTGAGCTCCTGGCAACACCACTTAGGTCTACCTATAGCCCTGACCCCCTCCCAATTCCTAGAGCATTCCCTGTCTCATCACGGTCTGTACTAGCTGAGCATTGCTTAAGCTCAGCCGACACCCCTGACCGTGAGCTCTTTCTATGACGCTGCAACCAACCTGTCCAAAACTCCATGGGGGGGGGGGGCAGAAAGGCTGCCCCAACCCTCCTAGAGTTGTCCTTGCTTCTGCTCTTCCAGTCTGCTTTTGAAAGGGAGAAAATTTGTGAAACCACAAGTCAGTCCAGGCCAAGCCTTCCTGGGCTCATGACTCACTTGAAGGGAAAGTTCAAGTTCTCATTAATCTTCAAAGTCCTCCAAGGTGCCTCTCCTCAGAGACCTGCCCACACACAGAAATCACTGCCACAAGAGTCTGATGGATTCTAGTTGTGTTCTGGCTGTGGTCTGTGTAGCCAGCATCTTTAGAAGAGGAGCTAAGAGGATTTCTCTAAGAACCACAGAACACCCAGACACACATAGACACACAGACGTATACACACACAGAGAGGGAGGGAGGGAGAGAAGTAGAGACAGAAAGAGACAGAGAGGGGGGAAGGAGGAAGAGGGAGGGATGGAGGGGAAGGGAGAGACAGAGAATAGATAACAAAGGGAAAGCCTTCCCTCTCATTTTGTGAAGGGATTAAACATCATCTCTAGAACTTGGAGGACACCCATTTGGAAAAGTTTGTAGCGGACAGACTCAATAAGGGGCTGATGAGAAATAGGGGGTTGATAAAAACAACCTGGCAATTCCAGGGGACTGTCCAGTCTAAAACCCCATAAAATTCCCTGAGAGAATAAGACATAAATATCTCTAAGGCTCAGAGACTAAAAACCCCTATCCAAGCACACTGCCACGTTAGCATATAAGACCTTTCCTGTTCTCCCCATCCAACTGGACAAGTCAGGGGCCAGTCAGTGACGGCAAGAGAAGTCTTGAATGAGCTGGGAACAATGCACTTAAAATGCATCATGGTTATCACTGATGACAACTGAGTGTGTGTTTGTGACTGGGAGAACTATTACCCACAAGACACAAAAGGGCTGAAACCCATCAGGATTTCATCAAGGACCAGAGGACTGACCCCTCATTAAGAAGACTTAAAGGAACCCCGAGTCAATAAAAGTTGCTTTCATAGAGGCAGAAGACAGAGCTCAGTCAGTAGACTGTTTGCTTTGCATACAGGACACCCTGGGTTCGATTCCCAGCACTACATAAGCAGGCGTGGTGGGGCAGGCCTATAATGTCAGCACTAGGGAGGTAGAAGGACAAGGTCATCCTTGCCTATACAGCATGTGTGAAGCCTGCCTGGGATACATGAGACCTTATCTCAAAAGAAGAGAGGGGCTTTTATACTTGTGACTCATCTCTGCTTATTTATATGCTGGTCAAATATTCTAGTTGCTATTTATGGCTATGGAGTCCCATTATTCTCTTGTCCTGTTAGGGCAAGCAGCTCTTTCCATAAAACACCATATCAAAGTGACCCAAGAGACAGGCTGAGTGGCCAAGGTTTCTGACAAAACTTCCACAAGGTCTCATTCCATCTTCCAGAGGAAACAGAGAAATCTGAAAGTGCAAGACTCTCCAGGTTTGGTCTTGACCTCTTCCATGTCTTAGATAGTTACAAGACTTGAGAGAAAAGAGGCACACACAGCAGCAGTGACTTAAGAACCCCAGACTGGCTGACCTACCCACACAGAAAGTTACTTCTCAGCTCCGAGTATGTTTATGACGCTGTAAGAATAGGCCTTCTCTAGCCCTGTGCTGACATTTCAGGACAGAGCAGAGGATTTCTTGCCTTTCTCACATCCCTAGACTCCAAGTTCCTTTAGAGAAGAGTTGAGCCATCTAGGTATCAAAGAACTCGTGTAGCTTGCCAGCCATGGTGGGGTGGGGGTGGGGGCTCTGTCTAGAGCACTGAAATGAAAGCTGAATGAAAGATTAAAGAATGGCAGACAGGTAGATGGTAGAATGGATTGGAGGGCAAGTGGATGGATTGACAGACAGAAGAGTAGGTGAATGGACAGATAGACAGATGGAAGAGTAGATGCATGGATGGAAGGACAGATAGGGAGATAGGATGGATGGATGGATGGAAGAACAGGTAGATTGAAAGTGGAAGGATGGGTGGATGGATGAATGGCTGAACTACTGGGAGAGTGGGTGCATAGATGGATGGACAGATAGATGGTCTTATATAAACCCCTTTCCCGGAATTTATTAGCACAAAACCATTGAAGGCTTCTGATACAACTCTTTTCTGCACCCTTCCCCAGTGTGTGAGGCCATATTCTGAAGGTTCCTCCTCCGTTTGTCTTTCTGTGCTGTTATAGATAAAGCAACAAGATTATGGATATGCAAAGACTCTATCCATAGTGATAGACATCAATTTTGACCATGTAAGGCAGCTTGAACTATACAAGATTGATCTCTGTGGAGGTTTGCCTACTAAGGATAGGGGCCATAATATTATAGAGCATAGTGCACATGCCAAGGAAGGGATAAATGATGCATCCACTCCCTGAAAATCTGCCCCCTCCATTCTAAAGTCCTATGGCATCCAGCTGTTGCCCCTCTACCCAAGTGATGGCCTCGAAACACTAGAAACTTCAGGTCATACCTGGATGGAGATGTCAGTCTGCCAGGAACCTTGGAACAACCTCCAAGGCTCCAGAAACTTCTCGATTCTGAAACCACATAACCAATTTGTGACCTTTAAGATGGATCACCAAAGGGGTAGGGGTGGGTGGGAGGGACACAGACAAATGGAGACGAAGTTTCAATCTTTTTATTCAAAGCAGCTTCTCACGATGTATAAATACTGCATATTAGCACACATGAAAAATACAACTTCTAAGGCACCCAGAAATAGGTTCATATACGTTACAGGACCATTCACAAAGAGTGGACGATTTGCTCCAGACAGTCAGCATTTGATAAATCAGAAGGTTATTACCCTCAGTACTGCACCCAGTTTGGGGAAAATATTTACAATGTGGAGAATGGGCCAGCTATACCTGCATATAACTCTATGAAGGACTCATACTTACAAGTATCCAAAACTAAGGACTCTCCAGTGAAAATCTGGCAAAAGAAAATGAGTAACCTAACCTGCAAAGGTATCCATGGATTTTGGTGTGTACGCCACATCCATGGTCAAACCCAAACACTCCTAGGGTGAGCTGGACACGTTTTTGGTAGCCTGCTTCATTATCAGAAGTTTGGTAATAAGCCTTACCAATAGAATAGCACTTCTTTAACATCAGTCATCTCTGGATTAGTAAAGAAGTCAATGACATCATCAAGAATGAGTATGAGAACGGGGGCATCCCCTGGGGGAGGGGGCGCTGAAGAAAATTCCTGCTCTACTAAGCAGGAAGTGGAATGGCTTGATGAGGAACTAAGGAGATGGACATCTGGCAGTCACAGGATGTATCCCTGGAGACCTAGCTGCAAAACTTCAGCTGGAGGCCCCCACACAAATGGAAGAGTCTACAGTGTTCAGACACCTGGCGGGACCCCAGAGTTCCACTCTGTAACGGGATAAATAGACACCTGAGACCACACAGCAGAAACACCCACCTGAGATACTAAGTTCCAATCACAGAAACTCTCCTTCAGAGCCTTTCAACGAGATATTCAACTTCTCTGCATGGCCAGTTAGAGGAGCATGAGTTTGAGGGAACCAAGGCGTCCTCTGTGCCATGAAAAGCTCACACATCTGGACCCAGATGTGCCTAGAGCTTATGAAACTCATGCTCGGTTGGAATCATGAAATTCTTTGGTCCTTGGTTTTATGAAAGGCAGTTATTTTCACGACCTTGTCAATGTAGCCATTAGAAAATAACTTCAAGCTGGAACTAATGGCATAATGGCAAATTGAATACTAGGTGGAAAACTCTGCACCCTCTGAACTTCTCAGAGTCAATTTAACCTGCTCCAGCAGAAGCCTAGATGTTGAGACTAAGAGGTGAAGCCAACCCAGAGATGCAAGGCTGAAGCTAACCCTAGACGTCAGGTCTTCTGACTGACACATGAGCACATGCCAATTTCAATCCAAATGCTGAAAAGGTGACATTGGACACTTCCTAGAGAGGGCCCCCATGCTTAGCCTCACAGCCCTGAACTCACGCTCCTATTCCGAAGGTTGATACAGAGAATCAGCTGGTAATGGCCAGAGTGCCGCCTACCAAAAAAAATGGGATTTAACTTTTGAGAATTAACTCTTTAAGATTCCAAGATCCACCACGCCCGCTGCTGATAAAACCTGGGATTTCTGCGCCACTGGAAAAACCCTGGATAAGCCAGCTCGCTTGCTGTGCGCGCTCTGTGTCTACAGCATGCCCATTCTGCCGAACTCCAGTCTAGCATGGCTCGACACCCAGTTGCTCACAGAAACACCAAGGATGCATGGCAACGCCAATGACGGAACAAAAACCAACTCCAGATTGGCTACATAGTAAGACTTTTATGTAAACTTTGTTAGCATCTCTCAGAGACTGCCGACTTTAGCTACCCTGGACATTTGCAGGTCACCCACAAGGAACCTGGAGTTCCCACCGGGGTCAGGAGCAGGAACTGTCATTTGTTTAGAACAGATGATGAATCGGCAGCCCTCCCTGTTACCACCTCCAAACCATGCCACATTATGGCCAAAGACATTCATCAAGAAATCCACCTGGTCCCTGCCGCCATCGACTCCACCACTCTCTTCCGGTTAGCCACGAGCTACAGACTTCCGGTTAGCCACGAGCTACAGACTGCATTGAGCCCACCAACATGGCTTACATGGAGGAAACAACCCGTATTACCCTTTTATTTATTGATTGATTTTTTGCAACAACCTTAAGGCTCTGTTCACAGCTCCATCAACTGCCACACAGTGAGAATTTATGCGGGGCGGGAGGGGGCGTGGGGGGGGAGGACAGGCTTGAACGACACACGTAGTTTTGAAGGTCAGCAGGATTATTGAACCTAATGGTAAGGCTTATTCCACAAATTCAACACGTTTTTCAAATTAGATTTCAAACACAATGACTTCTAGAAAAAAAGAAAATTGACTTGATTTCTTAATGTAAGACTATTTGATAAAAAAAAAAAATTGGCACCAAACCAGTGTGCGACCTATTTTTTTTTTGAAGGAAGAAGTGATATTAATGGAAAAGATTGCCTAAAACGCATGTCCTAATTTACCACAGAAATATAAAAGTTTATATTCTGAAAATATATATACTGTATTAAAGTCTATAAGCATTTCAACCAAAACCCGCAGAAAGAACTAAGTGGCACTTAGCTACAATAACAACAAAAAACACACATGCAAGACAAGCCCCCGAAGACATATCTACAAAGGCAAAGTGTAGATTTTCGAGATTTTACAAAACCATTTACAGAGAATAAAATAAAATACTTAAGAAATCTCATTTGGAGTCTTAAATACTGTGTCTATTAGTGAGGGCATCTTGTCTCATATATACAACAGAAATACAGGAGAGAAGCGGGCCTTCCTTCTAAATGTTCCCATAGGAAGATTTGGGGGATATTTATTATTATTATCTTTTAAAAAAAAGTCTATGGAAACTAGATTGAAAAAGTGTGTGGAGTGGGACTAAATTCCAAATTTAAAAAAAAATTACAAACGTCTAAAGAGATTTTTGAAACCAGGAGTTAGGAGTGGGGGATACAATTCAGCATTCGGCGAGGCGATTTGTAAAGCAGAGTCAGAGATAAAATTGCATTGTTCAAAGTCTGTTGTGGTTAAGTGGTTATTTTCCCGTCCTCGTATTGAACTTTAGCTTTTCATGCTTCTGAGAGGACAATTCCCAGTTTGACCTATGCCAAAGGATAAGCCTTTAAGTCTTTTCTCTACTTCCTTCTCAGCATAACATGTTTCCACTCAGACTTTATTTCGAAACAGGAAAGGGTCACCTAAATAAAAGAACACCCGCATTACAAAGTGGCCTCCATGTGCTGAGGTGGTCTGGCCATCTTAACCATAACTCTTCAAAAGTCTCCAGGATCAAAGCCTCTAACCCCAACCATGTCAAATCCACATGCTGGAAGTTGCCGTTGCCAAGGCCGTGACAGGTCAGACAGGGGGCGTCCTGGGTGGCTTGCCAGAAGGGACGTTGACTCAGAACAGGCACTCTCTACTTCTCACCCCTAGCTGTCCTTCCAAGTTCAAAGGAACTCTTGAGTTGGGCCTTCTAAGACCATCTACGATCCCTCAAAGATTTACTTAGGGCTCTAGGAAAGGATGGCATGGGAAAGGAACAAGAAAGCTAAAGGAACAAGCAGAGGGACCTCATGGGAGCAGAGAGGACACTGGGGCACAAGATAGAAGATGGAAGCCAGCACCCTGCCTCAATAAAGCCTTTAGGGTAATCTGAATACAACCACAGGCTGGGACTTTCCATCCCCATTCAGGATGCTGGAGGTCGGCTGCATTTCAACGACACACTACCCCGAGAGCAACCCTGAAAACAGCCATTTCAGTGGTTTAACCAGCCCTGCGGCAGACCGACTAAAGGACTTGTGCCCACGTGGCAGAACTACTTTATTGAAAGGACTTAAAACGAGCCGTACGAATTCCACCTTGGAAAGAATTCCTTGTCTATCTCGGTCATCACAGGTCCTTGATACATTCAGAGGTTTGGTGTTCATCAAGGACCCAAAGTTAAAACTCTGATTGTATCAGAGGAATCAGAGATGGACACTGATAACAGGAATTTCTAAACATCCCTTTCCATTTCCAGGAAGAATCCTGACCCCTTGGCTCCCTATGGACAAAATTGGCTTAATTAGAAAGCATGAGGGTTGGAACCTATAGAGGAAGCAGCAGTTGTGAAGAGGCTTGGAGACGTACACAAGAACAAGGGCCATCTTAAGGGTTTGGATGAAGCACATGGAACTCATCTAATAGAGAAGGTTCAACAACAGACACCTGGTAGAATCCAGAGCGCTCCTCTGTTAACTCTCTACTCCCCAGCCTACAGCTCCTACAGTGTTCTACTGGGACACCAGGAAACTACAGGATTCTATTCTGTTTCCCTGTGACTGAATACAGCCGAAGTGGCTGTCCCTTCAGTCTCCTCATGGTTCAAGAGGCACAGGCTGAAAGAGAACGGAGAAGTGAAACTCCGGCCCTCTTGAACCCTTCTGACCCCTAACGCTTTCCATAGAGGGAAAGGTCATCCTGAGGAGCGCAAGGCCAAGCACACGTGGGAGCCTCCTGAGTGCTGGGATTAAAGGCTACCACGGCCCAACTGGAGACAGAGTCTTACGTAGCCCGGGCTAGGGACTTGAAATTGCAGCAATCCTCCTACCTCCGTCTCCCAGGTGTAGAGTCGGGCCCCTTCACTTGTTCTCATGAGAACATTCAACCACCTGTGGCATCCTTCCACCTGGGACTGGGGTAGCTATTCCCGTTCGAGAGCAGACAGAGAACCAACTCTCCTTCTTTGCAGCCCACCTCCTCACCCCAACCTCCAAGAAGATGTGCCAACTCGGTGCTGTACCCCACTATCTCCAAGGCAGGGCTAAGAAAGGCTGTAAACTCACAGGGAAATGAATAGAAAGAACAAAGGTCAAGATCTGGAACATATCTAGAACTATCCAGGCACCCTGATGGTCTAATTTTCTCTGGGCACATGATCTCAAAGAGGTTTGAGGTTCCAGGCACAGTGGAGCCTCTCTTCCTTCTGTGTCCTGTCTCTTTATTAACTCAAACCCAAACTCCCCCTACCATGCAGATCCAGGGACTTTAGTTGGATCACATGAACACAGCTACTGGAGGCCTCCGATAGCCCACAGCCATTGAGGCAAGGAGACCTCCATGCTGGACACTGCTCCCTTGTATTCTCCCAGCTAGAAAAAAAAAAGAAGATTCATTGTTCAGGCTTCTGGAAGCAAAATGGTTTGGACCCTAGAAAAACTCCAGAGACTGGGTTTTCTTTCTCAACACTCCCAGAAAGCTAACTAAGACATTAACTTCCATATGAGAGGAAAGGTCTTGGACATCCAAGTTCATTTATCTATCCCAGAGCAAAAGAACATCTCACCCTAGGCAATATTTCATCCTGAAATAGGACCGCACCCCCATCCTTCCTTAATGCCGCTCATTTAGGGACTGGGTCCTGCTTTGAGACCATTTGGGATGACAAGAGTCCTAGGTTCTCCTTAATGACAGCGAGTGACAGAGAAAATGCCACCGTGACTTATCATAAAAACAAGACTAGAGAACTGGCATCATGTTATTAGAGTGACGTGGAGAGGACCTGACACAGTGTTGTTCATTTTAAATCCACGAAAATCCTTCCGTTCTTATCTCTGAACTTCCCACATGGCTCACAGTGAGCGCGCACCAAACGGCGTGAACCTTGAATCGTATTTGGTCCAGGGTAGTATGAAAATAAGATCTGTGTGAACAATAGACTTCATAATATATAAACAAAAATAAATAAATAAAATAAATCCGAATAAAGAAAAAATTTTCCTAGTAATTCATGTTTTTTTTTTGCAAAACTAGCTTTACATATAATACACATAAATTATCAGAATTTCCACTTACATTGTTTTAAAAATATATATTTAACAAAACATTTCTAAATGTACAATATCTGGGTTTGTAAATCACTCAGTTGGGTTTTGAGACCAAGCCCTAAGAATCACACCGAGCTGCATTGGAGAGGAGCCTGAAGCCAGGCCTATGGGCCAACAGAGTCACGTGCTTGTTGGTCTGCGAATTCCCTAAGATGATTGTCCCCTGGTCCCAGATCATTTAATCAGAGACCCATGATGGCCTCATCTCCAAGTTGGAGGCACTGTGTAGACACAGCCTGAGTCAGGAGGATGGGGGAGGTTGATCGTCCCCTTCTGGACCATGGCGGTGGAGCGTTTCAGCTAGTGGGGAAAGGGAAGCAGTGCCTGGCGGAGCCCTGAAAAGGTGTAACCCTGGAAAGCTCTACGGCCGGGCTGGGATAGGGACACGGGGAGGCCAAGGGTACTGCGTTTCCCACTGTTACATCAAAATCAAACCAATGAGGAACAACCGAAGGACACGAGGAATGGACACAACCCTAGGTGTAAAGACACACCCTGACAAACTCTTGGCTAGGGGCGGACCCTGGGCTCCGATGGCAGAAACATAGGGCCCAGCTGGAAGTCAGGTACCCTTGAGCAGAGAGGCCCACAAGCTGGGGCCCTTCAGACTTCATAGATTTTGTCCTGCAGGTAGCTGAAGAGGGAGTCCAGGCCTTTGGAGGAGCTCCAGAGCTGCTTCAACATGACGCACTCCTTCTCATTCACGTCTTCCAGCACCGACTTCAGGAAGCTCCGGACCAAGCATTTGGACTCCTCCAAAACCTGGAAGGAAACACACACATGTGGGGTCAGCCAGCCTGGGGCTGAGTTCTGTCTCTGTAGTCTTGCAGTGCCCACGGCAGCCAAGGAGAGGGTTTACCTTGGGTCTGAATCATTGGGTCTGTTTATTAGCACCATCCTGAATGACTTCCGAGTGGTCAAGGTGTTGAGCCCTCTACTCATGGGATGACTTGGGCAGGGAGGCATGGTACTCAGGCCTTAGGAACCTTGCCTTTTATCCAAAGATGACATATAATCAGCTCTCTGTCTCTATCTCTGTATCTCTCTCTCTCTCTCTCTCTCTCTCTCTCTCTCTCTCTGTTTGTGTGTGTGTGTGTTGTATGTGATGTGGTGTGGATATATGAGAAGGCCTTAGATCAACATCTTCTTCAACTGTTCTTCACTTATGACATAATCTCTCACTGGATCTAGTATGTGCAGACTGGGTAGACTGGCTAGATTAGGTCAAGAATCTGCCTGTCTTTGCTTCCCCAGCACTGGTGCATCTGTATATACATACACTATATATATATATATATATATATATATATATATATACACATACACTACATATACACACACTACACATACATGTACATACACATATAGTTTCTGGGATATCAGTCACAGGTCTCCATGCATGCATAGCAAGCACTGTACCCATAGAGCTGTGTTTTTTCTATGGGTTTTTGACGAAGTTCGCAAAGCATTGTTTTGACCCCACCCCATGTCATGAATGGAGTCATTTGTATGACCTGTCAGGGAAAAGAACACCCAACCCGAGGGTCACTGTGAACAGAGAACGAGCGGATGGTTGACAGAGTATCTGCAGGATGCACTGGACGGCCATGCCTCTGTTAGGCGCGGCAGCAACAACAGTAGTATTGGGTAACATTGTAGTATTGGGTAACAAGAATTACAGCCATAATAATGGTTGCAATTTGTAATAGTCATGGTAGGGAATGATAGCGGCATAAACTGTAGAAATGATTTTCAACAAGCACAGTAACAGTTGTGGTAATGATCAATAATAATCATAGTAATCAACATAATACACATAGGGCCAAGCAGCAATGTTACAGTAAGACAGGAATGAGGAGCGATGCCAACAATCACACCAACACTAGAGTAATAAGTGGCAATAGCAGTACTGAGCAATAATATTAATGGTGGCATTAATAACCACACCATGATGACCAGGCTCTATGAAGTATTTTTTTTTTCCAATCTCACGTCTCTCAATTGCAGGTAGTTCACATCTTACCCCCGTTGTAGATGAAGGACACTGAGAGGTAATATGGCCCAGAGCGGGATCATTCAACAGCGGTACAACAAGGCATCTCAATCAGTCCGATCCCCAGACCACGGTGTTGCCTCCACAAGGGTCAAGGCTCAGATTCTCATGGTTCTAAGCACTTCGAAACAGGCAAAGCAAAGGGCAACCCCCAGGTGCCAGCTGTCTGGAAGGACCTTACACTCCAGCACAGCGGCGGAAGGAACCCTGAGCGCCTCTCATCCTGGATCTTTTTCTCCTGATAGCGCCGCCTCCCAGAGGCTGCCGGCTTCACTTTGCCGCACAGTCTTTTCTCAGGAAGTCACCTAAAGTTCCTGGCTCCTCTGCAGCGTTGCTGTAGAGGTTTCTTCTGTGTGGGTGTCTCCTAATGTTCCCCTCAGGTGTCCTTTCAACAGATACTTCATCTGGGGGCCTCCCCTTGCCCAGAGTGTGGCCCACACCCCTCGCAGCTCATGCCTGCCTCCTGCATCCCCTGGGCAAACTGGCCACAGTCAATGCTGAGATGCATTCGACCTTCCTGCTTCCCTGCCTCCTGCCTCCCAAACTTTTGCTGTTTCTTCTGCTTGAGCTCTCCCCCTGCCTCTGTGAAGCTCACCCTCAGGTGATTAAGCATGGCCGTTTACTTGGGAGTGGAAGGTTTCTTGGCAAGATTCTTTCAGAGCTAAAAGGGGGAGAATATCAGGAAAAGGGGTAGAAGAATAATCCCAGTCATTAAAGACAATCCACATAAAACCAGTAGGGCACGTGGTCCATATTCCAATATGGAGATCACCACAACCATCATGAGCAGCACTACTGCGAGAGTGCGCAGGCGCAGTGGATGTCCAATGACTAAACAGCTAACAGGAAGAGGCTGAGTAGATGCCCATCTCAGCAGAAGCGTGGGGGCACAAGGCATGGGATGCAGGCATGTGCATCCGTTTCTTAAGGACAAGAGTATAGACCTTATCCTTCAGCATCTTGTCCCACTCGGGAACTGGCCCTGAGGCTTGAGTCCCCTCCTATGCTCAGAGTCTCTGTCATGAAGTCAAAACCAACGTTTAACTGAAACCTTGCACCTCCGTGGAGGTGTGGTTCATCCCTTCTTTACTGCATTCCTGGAGTCGAAGAGCAACCTTTAGATGTGTCAGACACTAGGCTGGACGGAAGTCATAAAACAGGGGCAGCATGAGCTGGTCTCTGTCCCCTGACCTGTAGTGCCCTGGGCCTTCCCTTTCTGAGACTTTAGCTTGGTGCTTTTTGGGTGTTCGGGGCTTTCTCTTAACACAATGCTTGCTTATCAACTATAAATCTCTCCCGTGAGCCTCTTTCAATGGGGCGTGGATAGGAATATGCAATATCCTGGGCATCTTTTTCTAATAATTTTGGCATTCTGTACCAAGAGGCAGTATATCCCACACTGTAGAAAACCTCCCACTGACTCTGCAGGTTCTCTGGGGAACTATGGGAAGGGCTCAGTTGTCACATGAGCATGAGGACCTGAGTCTGATTCCCCCAGAACCCATGGAAAATGCTGGGTATAGTTGTGCTCACTTAACAATCCTAGAAGTGGGAATGTGGAGACAGGAGGATTCTCTGGTGCTCACCAGTCACAGTCTAACCAAACTGGCAAGCTTTGGGTTTGGTGAGAGAACTCTTCTCAAAAAAATAAGGTAGAGATGACATTGGAAGAGACTCCGCATTGGTCTTAGGACTCCACCTGCATGCACGAACACACAATGGTCCAGTTACAAGGACGGTACATGAGAGACATGGGGACTCACCACGGCACTGCAGGACGCCATCTCCTTCACCCGCAGCATGACCTCCTGGCTGAAGGTCGTGGGCCAGAAGACTTGTGAGACAAGGCCCCGGCTGCATGCCTCCTGAGCCGTGAGTTTCCGCCCACAGAACAGCATTTCATTGGCCTGGAAGAACAAAGGCGGGAGAAAGCTGAGGGCACAGAGCTCTGCCCAGGTCCCTTAGGGAAGCCTGGAACAGCTGGGCATGAGCACCTCTCTGCTCCCTGAGGCAAGAGTCACAACCTAGAGTCAGATACACACTATGGAATGCATACAAACATCTGTCATTGCTCTCATTAAAGTGTCAAGAGAAGCCAACAGATCTCGCAAAGCTCTGTGAACCCAACAGTACTCCCCTCCAGTCATCGACCCTTGGGTGGGTTTGCACAGCCTTTGAGGTTCCTTTCAGTGCTGACTGCTTGGCCCTGCAACGGTGGAGGAAGGAGAGAGTGCTCTACCTGCAGGCGAACACTTTCTAACTAAGACAGTGACCCAAGTTTGTTCTCTCAGAAGAGAGATTAGTTCTGAGGGGAGAAGGAAGGGATGGAGGCAGAGAGGGATGAGAAGGAGATGGAACAAGAGAGAGTAAAAATCTCAGAAGAATCACTAAGCTTTAAAAAACAAAGTCAATCAAAACTCTCTACAGCAGTAGGAACCCAAAGATGAGAACACCAAGGTAGAGAAACAGCATCCAGCGGTTTGGGGCACAGACACTATGCAGTTGTGAGTGATGGAACACTCCCGTCTTGGCTGGGCTGCCTCTGCACCCCACACCTCAAAGTGACATGGTTTTCTCTGTTTTGGCATGGGTGGCTGTCATACACAGTGCTATGGGGGCATAAGTGTTCCCCAAAGCTCTGAATGTTTAAGGATTGGTCCTTGACTCGACTCTTCGAGGGAAGTGGTGAACCTTTATGAAATGGGACACTTGGCAGATCGTTTAGGTCACTGGAAGTAAAATGTACACTTGAAGGGACCCTGGTGTGTCTCCATCACTCTCTGTCACTGAGACAGAACAAAAGGAGCCACACAGAACTCGGTTGAGAACACACGGCCTTCAGTTCATTTCGAAGCATAAAAAAGACTAAGGCTGGGAAGCAGAGATGAGGCCAGACAGTTTAACCACAGCCTCTTGTTTACATCCATAGCAATGAGGGACTGCCTAGGGAGAAACTTACATGAATGGGAGCCTGTGGCTAATGTCAATGACAAAGTGTTCACCTCCCAGCTGTGTCACAACCAGTGAGGCTGAGAGCCACCTGAGACAAGGGACAGTGCCTGAATCCAAATGACTTCTACGTCCCACCTGTTAGCCTATCCCATACAAGAAGTGATGCCTACATAAGGACAGGCTTAGAAATATGAGCTAACTGGGAACAGAATGGCCATCTTCCATGTCCTCAAAGGAAGCTGGTAAAACAAAAAAATAGTGTCTGGCTACGAACAAGGATGCACACTTGACTGTACCTACACTGTGGTAGACGTGGGCGCACAGGCCTCTGACTACATGGGGCCTCCCAGGCACCTCCAATAGTTTTCTTCCGGTGCTCTCTTTGAAAAGAAATGTGAGTGTTAGCTAGGAGCCCAAGACAGCTGCTGAGAGGCCAGGGAGCCATGGATAAAGACCAGTAAGAACAAAGGACAAACACTAGAGCTATGAAAATATCAACATAATGTCTCATCCCTGTTCAGACTCTGGGGAAGTCGCTTAACCTCACAGGCACTCCTCCATCCCAGAGGCAATCGACAGCCTATGGTTCTGGGCTTCTAGCTACAGCTGGACTAATAGAGATGGGGCTTTACCAGCACCTGGCCTGTGGTGTGAAGGTGATGAAGGGACACTATTTTTTTTTATTACTGTTGGTGTGATCAATTTTGAAAGGAGCAAGGAAGAACACAGATGACACAGAAGAGATGCTGTTAGACAGGCTCCCACTTGTGGAGACCAAGGCAGGTTTTCAAGGAGACGAAGGCAGCCCGGGACCCCTCCACACTATGGAATTGACAGGAGATGGGACGCCAAAGGAGAAAAAGAGAAGAAATTCAGAAATTGCAAAGCTCTCTGTTCTGCCTCTGCCCAGGGACTCCACAGAGCACCTGGATGGTGGGGAGCCACTAGAATTCTCTAGCGTGCAGACTACCTTGGGACAATCAGGGTTTTCTTAAAGGCGACTGCTTAATACATGTGTTCAAGAAGTACCCCGGAGTCTGTTTCCAAACCGAAGCAGTTAGCAAGAGACCCAAGTAGTAGAGCACTGGATAGTGTACTCTCAGCTCTAGAGCTGTAGGACTGTCCTTGTCACTCACGTCACGCTGCCCCAGCAGTGTGCGCTCTCCCATGGCCTACAGCACCTGCTAGTAGGGTGCCCCTTATAGCCATAAGTAGAATTCACTGAAACATGCATGACAGCTGAAGTCCCAGCACCCTCCCTGATGGATGCAGTGCATGGTCCTTGTCAGCTTGTCTACCTGTACCACCTTCTTCCTACCACTTTGCATGGGAAGGGCACCTCTAACAACCTGTCTGGGCTAGCTGCCCATTCAGGACCCCCAGCTCTGGTCCTGACGGTATTCACCTAAGATTCACTCATTTGTAGTTTTGCTTTATGACATACCGGGCTGAGAGCTCAAACTGTGCAGTGAACCATGGGGATCCAAACCCTAGGGCCACCATTGTACCACATGACTATTTTAGAGAGAGAGAGAGTGTGTGTGTGTGTGTGTGTGTGCGCGCGCGCGCGCACGCGCGCATGTAGTTCTAGAGGTCAGAGGTTTTAAGATGGGTGTCTCACACTGGTGTCTCCCACCAGGTAGTCTTGGCTAGCTTGACCAGCAAGCCACAGGGATCTACCCATGCCCTTCTTCCTTGTGCTGGGATGACAACCATCTAACGCCATGCCCAGATTTTTTTATGTGGGTTCTTGGAATTGAACTCATGTCCTCATGTTCGTGTGGCAAGCCCTGGACGAACAGAGCACAGCTTTAGGTCCTCCCAGAACCATCAGAGCCTGGGTCCATCACACATGTTCACTGGTATCAGTGAATTCAGTGAAAACTGTCAGTGAACAGCAACTGTCCTCCTCATGGGGCAGTGGACGGCCCCAACAGTGAATGCTTTTGATGTCTTGTTGCCCCTACTGTGTGTCCTGCCTAGACTTGTCCTGCTATCTATTACCTAGGGTGGAGTCCACGGCTTTTCAACCTAGTCATGTGACAATTCCTTCGTGTCTCTGATCTCACTATTCCATCGACATTCTGGAAATCTCCCCATTTTCACAGGGGGGGGAAGCATCTTTGCCATCACTCAAAGTCTTTCGTTCTTTCATAGATGCAAGGTTGAACTGCACTTCCTGACTGCCTTACCAGGAGGTGTGGCCACGTGATGGAGTCCTGGCCAGTGATATGTAAATGAACAGGGGATACTCTCTGCGAGCCTGGTCTAGAAGACCCTCTAGGGTGACTGTCTCTACATCACCGGGAATGGAAAGATCTGCTGGACAGAAGCTGTCTGACCAATGTGGATAGGATTTGCACATTTTCCAGACTATTCTAGAGGGGGGGGCAGCTGTTGCTCAGATTCTGAGAACTGTGGCTGTTCACTACAGCACTCAGCTCCCCCAAAGACACAGCTTTACCAGAGTCTAGTGAGGAAGAAAGGGGATGGGGATGCTGTGCATGGTGCCTGGCACACAGTAGGTGACATCATCATCGTCATCTCAGCTTAGCTACTCCATCAAACACCAATAGCTTGAAGACCTGTTGGTCTGGCGTGAGATCAGCCTGGCTTCAGTCTCAGCAATTCCGGGACAGCAAAGGATGCCAGAGCAGGTTCTTCGGGCCTAGTGGATACCAGACTTTCACCCCTAGGACACTGCCATATTTTAACCCCAGTAAAAGGGTCCTGCTATGACCCAGGCCCATGCATACCAGATTTGAGGATTTACATAGGAAACAGGAGGCTTACCAGCGCCACACCCAGGATCTGGGGGAAGGTGTAAGAGGAACAGCCAGCAGGTGTGAGGCGGATAGTAGCATATGGTGTCTGAAACCAGGCCTTCTCACTGGCCCATACGATGTCACAGAGGGGTAGAATGGATGCTCCCAGGCCCAACGCTGGCCCATTGATGGCTACCACGATGGGCTTCTTAAACTGGATGAAGGCTTTCACGAAGTCTCTGGAGAAAGAAGAGCCTCTGTAACTCATGGCTTGCATTTGCTGGCCTCGGGATACCTGCTCTGACTCTCTCAGGTGCCGTGACACAATTCCTGGTCCTAAGAAGCAAGGGAGGGCCAGCCAGAGGCCACGCAGACTACCTGCAGACCCACGGGGCTGTCAGATTCTCAGAAGGGAGGAATGGCGTGGCTAAGCACCCTGGTGGCCTAGCTGTGCCCAATGAGCTCTCAGTTCTCTCCACCTCCCGTCTCCTCTCCAAAACCACGGCCTGGGCAGTAAATTCTATGGGCACCCTAAATATTGACAAGGTTGTATACTTAAAGGAAGATAAGCTAAATGACTGTTCTAAATGAGAGCCAAAACGGAGGTGTCCTTCAGAAGTATCCCTCAAGGGCAAGTCCATGTCCAGGGAGAGCGAATGTTCTAACATCACTGACCAAGACGTGATGACTGGTGGGGAATTCCTTCACTATAACTTATGATCACTTTGAGTGATGCTAAAGATGGAACTCAAGCTTCAGAGGGTGGACGTGGGTGGGGCCTAGGGACACCGAAGATTGCTTTCAATCCTGGGATGGTCTAGCTCTGGATTATCTGCAGGGATGCCAGAGTCACCAAGGTTGGTTCTATGGTGCTTATGGGAGTCTAGTGTTAGGATGACGTTAACTGAAATTGGAATAAGATGCTGGGCTCCCATCACGAACCTTCTGGAGTTTGTGATGGGAGCCCAGAGAATAGGATGATGTTTAACTCTGCCTGACATGCTGTATTGGTCAAGGTTTATATATGTGTCTTTACTTATCAAACAGGGACACCAGTAATGACTTCTTGTATGTGCGAGTGTGTACATATGTATGTGCGTGTGTATGTGCATATGTGTGTGTGCATGTAAGTATGTGCGTGTGTGTGTGTGTGTGTGTGTGTGTGTGTGTGTGTGTGTTATTTGGGTGCAGGTGCCAGTGGAGGCCAGACGAGGGCAGACACCATGGAGCTGTGGTTACAATGGTCATGAGCTGCCTCACATGGGGGTTGGGAACTGAACTCTGATCTTCTGGAGATGCTGAAAGCACTCCTTATTGTTGAACCATCTCTCAGGTCCTAGAAATGGTTTATTTTGCCTCTGAATGCTTTTTGCCTTTCCTCTAGTTGCTATCAAAGTTCTATAAATGTTAAAATTCATCTGTGTATGGAGGGAAGTTACAAGATGTCTAGTTTAGCTAGCATTCATCATTCTTAGATGGAAGACTGGGAACTATCAAAGAGTTGCAAGAACAGAAGCCAAACACCTATGCCCTTGGTCCTCCCTAGCTTACCTCTCTGGGCTTCTCTCCTGCCACTCTTGACCCTGCCTCCTGTGTATGCCCACAGGCCACCACCATCATTTTCAATTACCCTACTGAGAGTCTGCTTGCTCTTTTTGAATCCTTCTTCCCCTTTGGCCTCTGGGAAACTCACAGATCTGTCTGGCATACTGTCTGGCTTCCATCAATGTTGAAATTAGAACCCATGAATAGCCACTGAAGAAATATACTGTCTCCCAGAAGGGCACAAAGACTATGTTTCTCACTCCTCATTGTAGCTGGCTATGTCCATGCCACCAAGGGCTGGTCACGCTTGTAGAATACATAGACCTCTTCCAAGTGAAAGCAGCTGCCAACATTAAAATCTCCAAGCCCGGTCATCTAGGTGATCATGATAGACAGGGACAACACCAGGGGAGCCCCAGAATGGACGGGCCTGGATTCCTGAGGCACTGTTCAACAGTGTCAATACCCTTTGCTGACAATATTTCCCCTTCTAACACTTATCAAAAGTATAACAGCCATAAGTTGGAATCTGATTCTACTGTAAGAAAGATTGTTTTATGTGAAACCTTAATATCTTTGTAAGTCATTAGGAAATACTTAGCTTTGACCCAAGATTGCATATCACATTACATTGTCTGACACCTATCAAGACTGCCTATCACATTGAGACTCACCGTGGTCACTCTTAGCTCTGCTCAAAAAGAAAAATCCCAGTGGCCCCACCCTCTGCTGGCTGGGTCTTCAGTGGCCATCCTCCTGGTGCCCTTCCTACCCTCACGGCTGGGTTTTAGGTTAGAACACTGGCTTATTTCGACAATGCAATCTGAGTCTACTAAGGATGTCAGACTTACATGGACAGTCTAGGGAAGCCAAGGGCTGGGCAACTTTTATCAGACATCCCACTTCTAAGAACTTTTGTACAACTCCAAAGTCGAGGATCTGAGATGTGGGAAGACTTTCAGACTCCTTACACCACACTCTCCACTCTAAGGATATCAAGGAAATCAGCACAGCCCTCCTGATTCACAGCCATACATCTGTTAGACACTCTCCACTGCAGGGAGTCCATGACAGTTAAGTTAGCCTCCACGCTGTGGGCCTTGGGTAGGCATTGCTGACGCTGTCATACCTCACAAGACGACAATTCGGGAAGCTACTGAAGCTTTCACCCCTTCCAGAGGTTTCCATTTCAGCATCCAGAGACTTCTGCTCTGTGCAAGGCTAGGAGGGACCCTGAAGAAAGTGTTGGGTTTGAAGCGCACACAGCCCCGGCCTCCCATCACCAGCTGCCCCAGTTTCTTTCCCCTCATATAAATGCACCATGTGGGACCCTCCCATCCTTTCCCTCTCAACTCAGGCATAAGATCTCTATTTCAGGGGCTCCCAGGATGCAGATGCCAAACAGCAAACAGGATATTGCATTACAGACCTGCCGATCGGATATCTGATCGCCCTTCAGTGGCAGGGCTGGGCTCAGAGGGCTGCTCTCTATTTTCTTCTGTGTCCAATACCCTGAGACTGACTCTGGCCCTTTGCACATCCCTGTGCTCAGCCCAAGCCCTGTGTGTAGAGCCTGACCAGGCAAATGTTGCCCAATGTGGCATGGAACATCATAGGAGACCGTTTTGAGGTCAAATCTCAACTCTGCTTGTCACTATCAGACTTTCTGCTCTATAAAATGGGAAGGCCAATGCTGGGTAACCATGGAGCTAAATGAGAATTATACAAGAGTAGCACGTGCCCAGCACGTGAGGAATAATGGATCAGACTGACACTTTCATCACTGGGGTTCCTTAGTTTACTCAGCCAGGAAAGTGAGTGGAAGGCCCCAGACTCCAGCCACGTTTCTGCTCCCGGTTACAGCCAACGTTCTCATCTCCGTCTGACCCTAAAATCTCTCTCTTGACTTGGTCTTCAAGACTCTAGAGAGAATGGACTGTCGCCCTTATGACCCCAGTAGGTCAGGAAATAGGCAGATAATGAGCAGAAATGTTCTTGACTCTCATCTTTAATGGATCTAAGCCAGAAAGACGGGGCCAGGCCAGAGAGACGCTACTCCCATGGCGCGGTCAGTGGTGAAAACCTGTAAGAATATACCATGACATAGGGATTCCCTGTTCAGGTCCCCTCCCACAGTGACTCAGCGACAAGTCCTTTAGTCCAGTGACCTGGCCGGACTCCATTCCACTAAGCCTAATACTGAGCAATACCTTACTAGAAGCTGACAGAGGCAACGGTTCACAGTCCTCACCCAGCAGACATTACTAATCGCCTGTCCAGAGAGATGGCTCTAAGGATGCTATGATGAGGGATGGGATGGACCGAGCCTGAGAAGAGAATCCAGGAAGATGTGGAATTCTGAGTACCACTAGAACAGTGACCACAAACCATGGCTCAAGACAACAGAAATGTTTTCTGTAGTGTCCTGGAGACAAGAAATCCAAAGTCCACGTGTTGGTCCCCTCTGGAGCCCTGCGGCAGGAGCCAGACCTCGCCCACCTGTTGATTCTGTCAGCTTTCTTGGGTGCTCTGCCTCACTCCGGTTTCTTGTCTTGACGTCACATCTCTCTCTTCTCTATTTTCATGCCTAGGCCCCACGCCATTGCTGCGGGAGTATCTCCCGCTGCCTCAGCCAAGAGTCGCTGAAGCACAAGCCCACAGTGCGGCCGGGAGCGCCTTCCGCTCCGTCAGCCAATAGCCGCTGAAATACCAGCCCACTGGGGCGTGGTATATCTCTCTTTTAAAAAGAGACACAGATCCCGGATCAGGCCCTCTTGGTTCCAGCGCTTGGTCCCGGCTCCTGCTCCAGCGACTAGGCTCCCTTCCTGACGGTTTATGGTGTATGTAAGTTTTACCCCCCAAAATAAATAACCCCTTAAAACATAACTGGTGTGGGATTGATTCGCCGATACGCCATCGCCTTTCTCGATCTCAAGGGCAGCGCTCGCCCATTCTAATCTAGGATCTCAGGACTCCGAACTCCATTACATTAAGATGCTTTTTCCAAATTAATTTACCTTCAGAGGCCGAATAGATTAGGAAGTTTCTGTATTTGTGTGTGTGCGTGGGGGGGGGACGACAAGAGGGCTAAGTGCTAATTAGCCATACCTGCATGAAGGAGAGCCTGAGAGCCTGCGCCATATCCTAAAGATTTCCCTGGGCTGGAAATCCCACAAGCATCTCCACCGAGATTAATAAACCAGGTGCGGACTGTGAGCAAGGCTTTCTAAGGTCACAAAAAGGCTCTTTGGTCCCTGGGGGGTGCTCTGGTGGCCCCGTCTATGAAGAGGGAATCACTCTAGTGGCTTTGCTGATGCTTCAACTCATGCAAGGCCAGCAGTGAGAAGATGCAGCCGAGAACAAGCAGAGCACAAACCACCAAGCCATGGCCAGGGCTCAGTTGCACACTGGAAATAGGGAGTGACATCACCTCAATTCCTCCTAAGGAACTGGGTCCTGGCTTCATAGTCCCTTCCTGGGGAGGAGTCTGCATGTGGAAGCACACAGGCATTCCTGAGCAACACTTCACTCAAAATTGGGCCTGGAATCCACATAAGGGGGATCTTCATGCTACAGCCCGCAACCTCCCGAATCCCTAGTGACGACATGGGAATCCTCCTCTGCTGTGATTCAACCACAGGTCCGTGAGACTGGAGACCCTGAAGACTCTCCAGTGTGCAGCCTGGGAGCCAAGACCCCACATGGGGCAAATGTTCCTGGTCTTAAGGCTGTGGCTCCTCTCTGTCTCCTTGAGCAAGGTACACCAGCAAGTAGGTCTTTCCTGGGGTGACTCACTACGTAAAAGCTGTTAAGCTGCAGAGTGACCTGGCTGGAGAGTTCATCCATTTGCTTTTGTTATAAATAATTGGGATGGGCTAGCCAAACAGCTCAGGAGGGAAAGTGCTAGCGTTGCAAGCATGAAAACCCAAGCTTGATCCTCAGAACCCATGGGTTAACATAGAGCTTGATGGTATCCACTTGGAATCCAAGAGCTGGGGAGGTACTGACAAGCAGCCTGGGACTCGCTGGCCAGCCCGCTTATCCTACCTGGCAAGTACCAGGCCAGTGAGAGACCCTGTCATAAACAACAAGTGGACATTGCCTGAGGAATAACATCTGAGGTTGACCCCTGGCCTCCACATGCACACACGTGGACCCACACATATCCACATGCACCTACACACACATTCACATGTGCACACATAGAAAACGAACAACATCTAAATAAACGGGGAGATAATGATCCTGTGTCCTGAAAAGGTTACTAATAGTTGCCCCTATGGGTCACCATTGAGACACCCACAGACTTTGAGAGGGGACAATATTCCCGCCCACACAATGCACAACTGCCCTAAGTTCTCCATCCTCTTCCTACACTTGATTCACATCGGGCCGAGGACAGAGGAATGCCGGCACAACCCAAAACCCCACCAGCGGACCAAAAGCAGGAGCAGAACGCTTCATGGCATTGCCAATGCAGGCCTTAATGAGAAAAAATAAGTGTATTGTTTTTCTTAACCAAAAAGAGGGGTTGGGGGTCGGAAGAAGAATGCGGCCCAGAGGGCAAAGCATGCCATTGGGGCCATGGACAAAACGCAGGCTGCCCAGCTTAGGTCCACAGTTCAAAGACAGAAATTAAACTGAATGACAGAGCATTTGTCCAGCATGTACAAAGCCCTGGGTTTGATCCCTGGCATTGAAACAGAATCAAATTTCAGATAAATCAAAAACAACTGTAAGATATAGGCATGTCCCAGTGTCCCAAATGTTGCCAAGGATGTACTTACCCTAAAATTAAAATCCCACATCATCTGAAATTTAAGTTTAACTGAACAGCTCGTACTTCCATTCGCTAAATCTGGTCATGGCTGGCAGGTTCCCAAAGCGTTCGCTCAAAGAGAAGCTGAGCTCACCTGATGGCTTCTGCGATCCGAGTGCTCTCCTTCCTCCGGTCACTGGACAGCCGGCCGATCAGGTAGGAATAGTCCAGGCCGCTGCAGAACACGCTGCCCACCGCACTGAGCAGCAGTAGCTTGCTGTCGTCCGTGGCCGCGTTGCACAGTGCTCGCCGGACCTCCTTCATGATCTGTGGGCAGAGGCAAGCGTGCAGAGCTCTGAGAACCGGAGAGCCTCCGCTGAACGGAAGCACAGGCCAGACCCAAGGAAGGAACCAAAGCTTTCCGGCACCACGCACAGTGTAAGCAGAAGGATCAACTTGGAGGCTAGAGGTCACTGGTCCAGACCTGGGAGCCCGGCATGAACTTGCTCAGTGTCTATGAACTTTTGCAGACCCACTTCTGGGGTTTTGGGCTGAAGCCCTTACAAAGTGTGGGGAAACTGACCTCCTCACAGCTTTGGTGAGTTTAGCCTCTAGATGCTTCAGTTACCTTTTCTTCTCTTGTTCGATCTCCCTAGACCCTTGGACAAGGGGTTAGAAGTGGCCATGCTTAGCAAATTTTAGTATTGCAACACAGCCAAGCTCATGGTCAGTCATGTATTAGCCACAAGATTGGGGATTTGCTGGTCTTAACATCCAGAATTCTTTCCAGGTAAGGAATAAATGACAGGGTGCCTGCGAGGTCACATTCTGGGAGGGAGAGGAAATTCAGGATTAAGAGCATCTTGTTCTCCCCTTCATGCCACCACGGGGGAAATCTCACTTATTTGCCCCAGTTAGACCATAGTTTGAACAATGATCAGAATGTTGTCTTCCTTAGCCCCTGCTGTATTCTTAAGACTACCACAGTGCCTGGCATAGACATTCAAAAGTGACCCATGACATGACAGTTGGTCACTGTCACACCTGTGGCTTCCCCACTCTGACTCACGCCCCTCACAGCCCTGTCGTGAATCCTGTCCACGCTGCCTACACAACTTCTCTTGGGAACCCGGACATTCAGGGTGACTTCCTGGTCAGGAAACCTCATTGTAATATAAAACTAACTAGTCTTAGCCCTTCCTTCAGCTTCTCCACCACACATCCTCCAATCCTAGTCAGAACAAGCAGCTTGAATTTCTTCTGTAGGTAAAATCTCCCATGAGAACTTAAAACCCCAACACAAAGTTCTGAGGTGTCATACCACATGAAAGAGAAATCTTCATATTAAAAGAGGAGGGACTGTGGAGATGGCTCGGCAGTTAAGAGCACGTATTGTTCTTGCAAAGCGCCCCAGTTGGGTTCCTGAGGCCATGTCAGGAGGCTCATAACTGCTGAACACCAAGCTCCAGGAGTACACTGAAAAATACTACAATCATGTGCACAAAACGACACCTAGATTGTGTGTGTGTGTGTGTGTGTGTGTGTGTGTGTGTGTGTGTGAAAATAAAAAGCAGTATCTTTTAAAAAAAATGAAGAATTGATTGATATGGAAACTGGATACAAGCTAGCAGCATTTCTGGAGCATCTCATAAAAATGAACACAGACGTGCTTCTGAGAGAGACCGACACCTAAGCCACGTGACCACATCACAGGGAAGTAATCTGCGCTGCAGATGAGCTACCAACAAAATGACAGAAAGCATTTGAGAAATATGAACAGACATACAAATGGGAGGGACATAGCAACACTAAGTAATATTACTCTAAGAGACTAGAGCAAGGGGAAAATAGCCAAGGAGGGGGAAGGGGCAGGGAAACAATGGCGACTAGGAGAGACTGAAATGAAAGGGCTTAGGGAAAGAGAACGTAGCCCACGGACAGCAAAGTCATGATTGCTGCCTAGATTAACAGACTAAACGGAGTTGGAGGGAGAATAAGCAAGCCAGAAGATCTGGAGAAGTTTCCCTGTGCCCCAATCAGAGAAACAGACAGAAAACACACTAAGAGGGTACCAATAAGTGCAAGCCAAGAAGGTTAAAACGGGTGCTTAAGGAGCCATTTTCAGATGTCACAGAGAATGGGCAGAGTCTGTCTGAGGCAGAAGCTGAGCACGTATGTAATGAATTGCATTTCAACCTGGACATCATAAGGGAGAACACATTTCCTGCATGCTCCTGGCCTACTCTCCACCTTCCAAGCCAGCGATGGCCAGCTGGGTCTACTCTATGTTCCCTCTGATGCTGACTCTTCTCTCTTCCCCTTCTGCACCTTAGACCCTGTGATGATGCAGAGACCATGGAGACCTTTCCTTCCAAAATAATCTCTTCTTCTCAAAATCAGCATAAGGGCAGCCTTCATTCCTCCAGAAACCTTAATGCCCAGGCATGTAAGTTAGCATCATCTTAGGTTCTGGGATGAGGACTGGAGCATCTTGGGGGAAATGCTTTAAGTCTGTTCAATACAGAGTTAAGTCTGAGTTCAAGACACCACAAAAGGCCAACACAAAGCAAAGGTAAATCTTTAAGTATCCAGAGACAAAAGAAAGCTTACCTCAAAGATAAACCCTTGACCAGAGGATAGTTCTAAAGAAGACTAGCAAGCACTAGAGGAAGGTAATGAGATATAATGTTCAACGTGCTGAGAGAAACAGCTATAGAGCAAATTCTTCACCAATACAACTGGCCATTCAAAGGCAAGCACAGGAGAGTTTATCATTCTAAGACTCTCAAAGAACATGACTGCAAAAGCATGGACCTCAAGCAGAGGAAAGGTGTATTCAGAAAGAAAAACACAGATAAACTAGAAGAAATCAGTGTGAGCGAGACAGATGCACAGCAGACAGAGGGAAAGGAGACAATTGAGGGAAGTCCGAATGGCCAGAGGTGACAACAGGGTGTGGGAGACACACCTGTGTGGCTGGCCCATTCCTGTGTTCCCTATTTGTCAACTTGACCCAGCAAAGAGTCAGTTGATAAATTGTCTAAATCAGCTGTGGGCATGACTGGCAGGGGAACTGTCGTGATGTGGGAGGGCACAGCCCACTGTGGGCGGCACCATTCCTAAGGTGAGTGGTTCTGGGCTGTTTAAGAAAGCTAGCCAGACGTGAGTGAGCCAGAGAGCAAGCAAGCCGAGTGGGCCAAAAAGCAGCATCTTCCATGGTTTCCGCTTTCAGGCTCCTGCCTTGAGCTCCAGCCCTGAGTTCTCTTAATGACAGACCCGGAAGTGTAAGAGGAAATCTCCCCTTTTCTCCCACTAAATTGTTTTTGGTTTAAGTATTTAGTCAGGGCAACAAAAAGGGAGCTTCAAACACTGTGGCTGCTGCTGGTACTGGTTGAGGCCATGAGCACTGGAAGAACCAGAGGCTGGAGGCAAGCTCGGGGTCCCTCACTGAGCAGGAAAATAGACAAGTTTTGAATGGCAAAGCCTTGTTCCAACTCCTGTGCTAACAAGACAAACATCATCTTTCTGATCTCGGAACTGAGTCAATGCATCTGGTCACGAATGGATTTTTACCTTGTAATGTCAACCCACCCAATGACACACACACTGCTAAGAGAAGAAATTCAATGGCCACCATGAAAGGGTTCCCTCCAGGCTGTTCACTAACAAGCAAGGTGGACTGGCTGGTGACCTTAAGCAGCCTCGGCTTCTTCTTAGTAACAGCAAGAGCCTATATAGGCCAGCCATGGGCACTAGACACTCCTGGGCACCTACGGGTGCTGTCTGTAATCTCACAAGGGAGACAGGGTGTCTTTTCTATAAACGGGGGTGCACAGGCAGAGTAATTTCCCCTGGTAACAGAAATGGCAACAGAAGTGGGGGCGGGTTGGAACGCAGGTTGCTAGACTCCCAAATCTAAAACATTCCTTCTCCAGCACCTCCTCTTGGATCCAATGGGATCTTTCTTTAGGGACTACTGTAACCAGTGTGCCAGCTTGCCTGACTCATCCAGCCACTGAAATCAGTGGGTCCATTACTCATTCTTGTAACTGACTGATGTCCATAAACCATCATAAATCAAGGCCACAGCTCAATAGGTAGGGCCCACGGGTACCTCAGATTAGTGGAACACAGTGTGGCATCCAGGATGAGTGGGTACCCATTACCACACGAAACTGTCCCAATGAGGCAGAATGAACTGAGAGGTTTCACACTGATTCCATTTATGGAAGGGAAATAATGTGCCTTTTAAAAGCTTTTAAGATATAGTAGAGTAGAAAAAATGCAGGAAGAATTGGTCTTGTGTGGGTGCGCCATGATGAACTTAAAACAACATGGGTTCCAGGTAAATGTGCATATGAGGAGTTGCCCACCTGGGAGCCCACATACACATCTCTAGATCCTACCTACAGAGAACCCCTGGATGCTTCTGCTAAAGTTAAGTGAGGCTGCCTCTCCCCCTCCCAAAAAAACCTCCATGCTTAGAGGAGGGGCAACGCTATCGGCCTCACAAACCCCAAAGGCACCTGTCAGCTCTACTCTCACAGTCTGTCAATCATTCTGGGCTATAACACCCAGAACGCCACAAAAGAGTCATTGGTTGTATAAATCATATAAGACACGCGGTCACAAGTTCAAGGACATGGTACCCCTCCACCACTTCATGGGCATTCCAGAGGGTGTCAGCTATACCAGAGGATACAGGTCATCCTATCAATGCGGGCCTGGAAGAGCGGTTCCTCGAGAGCAGCGGCTCTCAACCTGTGCGTGGAGGCCCTCTGGGGGAATGAATGACCTTCTCATAGGGGTCATCCAAGACCATCTGAAAACATGGGTATTTATATTATGATTCATAACAGTAGCAAAATTATGAAGTGGCAATGAAAATAATCTTACGGTTGGGGGTCAGCACAGCATGAGGAACTGTCTTAAAGGGTCACAGCCGAGGAAGTTTGAGAACTGCTACCCTAAGAGTGCCCGCCCCCAGACGTCTTGCTAACTCCCCATACTTCCACAGATATTATGGACAAGCAAGTGCAGGGTATTCCAAGGCCGAGAAGGAGATCTGAAATCACCCATCTTCCTAAAGCTCTTACCTCAGGAGTCAGGGCGTTGTTATCTGAAGTCTGGCTGGACAGAAGAATGTGCGTGAAGCCCTCTTCCTTCCGCACCACGATGTCACGAAACCGACAGTTGCTTTCATTCTGGCGGACGCTGTACCTGAGCCTCTTGTCAAAGACGTAGTCCTTCTCGGTCTCCAGCTTCCTCTTCACGGGGCTATGCAGGTTCAGGCCTCCGTTGGTCAGAGCAGGGCCTTTCAAAATCAGAAAAGCGAAGTGAGAACCTGGCCTGCATCATGCAGCCACAGGAGTCAACTGGAGGAAGCCTGGATTTCCAGGGGAAACATCCAGGGTTCCCAGGACCCCCTCTTCTCTGCTTTGGAGGAGTAAAGAGTCCCGGACGTAAATGACATATTTTCAAATTCAGAAAACAATCTGGGGACTTTCTGCAAAGAACTGGCTTGAGGGCCTGATCCCATCGCGGAGCACATCCGTCAGTGAGCAGTCTGCTTATATTAGGATTCTTGACAGCCAAGAACCTACTGACCTCTAGGAGAGGCAGTCCTGTCCACTGGTGGACACACGTGACTGACAGAGAATCCTTAGTAAAGCAGTACTAGCCACTGGCCTGGATCCAACCGGTACCCACTGGCACCACGTGCTAAGCACAATGCTCCAACCCTACAGGTACATTGCTAGAAGTAGGGATCTGAGTGCCCAGTGCTTAACTTCTAATCATGAGGCCCCACACAGGCATAGACCTCCTTTTCCCACCTCTCCTCCCCCATGTTTGTGTCTTCTATATTAGTGTTCAAAAATGACCACAGACTGCCCTCACTAAAAAGAAATTGCTTTAATTTGCTTTCTATTGCTTTAATAAAGACACCATGACCAAAGCAATTTGGGGAAGAAAGGGTTTACAACTCTGGCCATACTCCACTAATGTGGATACAAAAGTCTTTGACAAGGGTCAGGCATGGTGGCATATGCCTTTAATCCCAGCACTTGGGAGGCAGGGACAGTATCTGAGTTCCAGACCAGCTAGGACTACATAGTGAGACCCTGTCTGAGAAACTAAAGGCTTTGATGAAATACGACTTCATGCAGTACAGCGAGAATTCTATGCTGTTAACAGGTGAGGGGAGTTGGTTCGGTATCTGAACATCAGTTGGTATAGCCACCCACACAGGAAGTGAAACAACGAAACATCACAGTCATCAACACAAGAAAAAAATCTGACAAACTCTCCCAGAGAGCTGCATGTCCTCCCTGACAGGGACATCAACAAAACATCTGCCACTTACATCACCTTCAATTGGGAAAAACTGGATTCCTCCCTCAGAACTAAAGTCACTAAAGGGCACTCTTTTTCCTGGTCACCCACATCCTAGAAGACCTAGCTAGTGTATGAAGAGAAGAAAGAAAAGGAAAGACAAGTCAAGAAAAGAAAAGACAATAAAAGATATAGACATTGAGAGGAAAGAGAGGGGCTAGAGAGATGGCTTAGAAGTTAAAAGCACTGACTGTTCTTCCAGGGGACTCAGGTTCAATTCCCAGCAACCACATGGCAGTTCATACCTGTCTGGAGCTCCAATTCCAAGGGCCCCAACACCCTCAAACAGACACACAAGCAGGCAAAATGCCAATGCATATAAAATAAAAATAAATAAATCCTTAAAAAAGAGAGAGGGGGAAGAGAAAAAAGACTATTTACGGATGCCAAGTCTGTATGTATAGATAGAATGCACCAGAGAACCGAAGGCCAAAGAAATCAACCATTCTTGGAACTAGTGAGCAAATTCAGCAAGGCTTCAAGATACAAAATTAATACACCTGCTAATTATCGTCCAACGTACCGGTAATGAACAAATAGAATTTGACATTTAAAAAACAGCACCCAATATATGAACCATACGCAGTTCTAATAAAAAAAATGTGTATGGGATCTGTAGATAGGAAACTACAAAACCCTGATGAAAGACGCTGAAGCACTTCTAACTAAAATGAAGTAATACTGTGGCTTCAGGGAGAAATACCCTCTATAGGCTCACGTGTTTGAATGCTTGGTCCCCAGTTGGTAGGTGGCACTGTTTGGGTAGGTGGCACTGTTAGGAGATGGGGCCTTGCTGGAGGACACCCACCACTAAGGGTGGGCTTGGAAGATTTCTAGCCTCTTCCCACTTTGAATTGGCTATCTCAGCCTCTTGTAATGACAACATGTGATCGGACCTGCTCCAGTGCCCGTTGCCATGACTTTCCTTATCAACTCCTCTCTCTGGAACCTTGAGCCAAAATAAATTCTTCTTTCCGTAAGTTGGCTTTGGTCATGGAATTTCATCTCGGGGACAAAAAGTAACTAATACAAGAAGCATGCCATGTTCATGAATCAGATTTACACTTTGGGTCAACTCTTCCCAATCGATCTATGAGTTCAGTGTAACCCCAGGAAAATCCCAGCAAGCTATTTTGTGCCCAGTGTCAAACTCACTCTGAACATGTTCTTAGCAAGGGGAAAGATATAGAACAGCCAAAACCAATGCTTCAAGATAAGAAGAGTGGGTTCTCTCCCACATCAAAACTTTAATAAAAAGCCACAGTGATCCAATGTACAGAAATACACCAACGGGTCTCAAGAGAGAACATATAAGCAGACGCTCATATATACAGTGTCAAGACAGTTCAGCGAGGGAAAAGACTTTTCCAACAAGTGTTACCAAAACAAACAGTAATCCATTGGCAGAAAAAAAAAACATGAACCTGGAGACATCACATCTACCATGACTAGCGGTCCACTAGATACACAGCTATAGTTACAGGGGAAGATGGAATCTCCACTGAAGAATTGCCCAGAGCAGACTAGCCTGTGGTCAGGTCTAAAAGACACTTAGTCTTGATATGGTTGATGACTGATGTAGGAGTCCCAGTCCACTGCGGGCAGTACCACCCTTAGGCAGATGGAACTTGGCTGAATAAGAAAGTGAGCTGGGGAAGCCAGTCAGTGGCGATCCTGTGGAGTTTCCGCTTCACTTTCCTGCCCTAAGATCCCTCAACGACAGGCTGTTACCAATACGATGAAAATATAAACCCTCTTTTCTCAAAGTTCCTTTCAGTTGCAGTGTTTATCACAGCAAGAGAAACCAAATTAGGACATCTTACAAATCCTCCCTCTCACTCCCCGTCTCCTTCTCCTCCCCCCGCCTCCCCAGACGTGCGTGCACAGGCACATGCAATTTTTCTCAGAATGGATCACAGACCTAAACACAAAATGATAATATGTCTAAAAGGCAACCAGATCAAGCTCTAGGGATACTGGGCTTGACAATAAATTTCTATATTCGGCATCAAGAAAATCAGGTTCCTTGATATAAAAAAAAAAAAAAAACATGGGCAAGCTGAACATTATAAAAATTAGAAACTTCTGTTCCCTAGAGGGCATCATTGAGAGAATTGAGAGGCAAGCTACACTCTGCATGAAAACAGCTTGCCAAATATGTATCTGAGAGATTTTGTATTCAAAATACACAGAGCTGCAGTAAGAAAGCAAACAACCCAACTTAAAAGTGGGCAGGAGATCTAAAGAGCCAAAGCATGCCTTTTCCCTGAGAGGGAAAATCCAGGAGATGCCAGGGCACACAGGGTGGGTCCATTAGTGTATACAACAGCAATGAGACGGAGGCATCGCTGGTGGAGACCGAGAGTGCATGGCTTTGCTCACTGTTGGCAGCACACACAAAGAGTGTGCACGGCTGTGCTCACTGTCAACAGACA